TATGTACTCTTTATTATATTTACAAATGTATAAATTTTTATATACATATACATTTTCTTTTGTCCACCGTTTTAGTAAAGAAAACATGTGCCCTGCACAGACAGCGGTAAGAGTTTCAGGGAAAAATGGAAGATTAGGGCAATAAAGGAAAAGAGTGACCTGTCTCTTCTGCCCCTCTTGGCTCATCATAGTGGACATGGAATGTAGCAGGTGGTTAGGACGAGGGGGTTACCCAGTAGGAACCAGTGGGATGAGGACTAGGTAGTTCAAGGAGGATCTCAGGATGACACAGAAGGGTAGAGGAGCAGACACTTTAGGCCAGTTTAGGACAGAAGCAAGGTTTAAAAATGGTGTTTTCAGTTTATGCTACAAGAATTGCACATCTGAAATGTAGGGAGGTTGACACTTGAATTACTTGAACTTCTCAGCAGGAACTAGAGGAAAAGTAAAAAGAAAATTAAAAAACAGTGATGTTGAAAATACCTATATAAAATTAATATCAGGCCACAGGTTAAAAGCTATAGAAGAGACCCATTGAAAAGCTGTGTTAGAAATTTAAAAATCTGTTGTTTCTAGGTTTGCTTTCACTCCAGTAGAGAGCAATTGATTACCTTCATGTCCTGACCCCTGAGGAGGGGGAAGCTACCTCAAAAGGCTAATAAACATATTTCCCCTTAAACAATAGACATAAAACTCCTCCTTGAGGAAAAAACAGAGGTTGAAGGACAAAAGCTGCTTCAATCTCCAGGGACCCCACCTTCCATATATCTTCCTTCCAAACTACCTCTATAATGGCTCACTGCCCAGTGGATAGTGGCTGATGGTCATGGAACTTGCTTAATAGACAGCATCTATTGCAAAACCTAAGAAAGGTATCTGAGATATGTTTCACACTTTGATGGACCCAAGGCCCCACCTAGTTCTAGAAGGTTGGCCCTGTGGTATCTTTTCCCAGAAACTAGCTCTGGGACAAAAAGACAACTTTCTCACCTCCTTGACATCATCAACCAATCAGCAGTCCCTATTACCCTCCCCACCAAATTCCCTTTAATAAGTCAAGCTGCTGAATTTTGGGGGAGGTGGATTTGAGAAATATCTCCCATCCTTGCTCAGCTGCTTTAAGATATTAAACTCTTTACTGCAATGGCTGTGTTAGTCTTGATTTTTCTGGGCAGCAGACATAAGTACCCAGTCAGGCTGCAACAATGCAGTCCAAAGAGAAAACATGAGAAAATCTTTCTTATCTGGGACATGAAGTAGTCCTATCAAAGCAAAAACTGTACCAGAAATTGTACCAAACACAATACAGATGTTAAGGCTATTACAGTAGGGAAGAGAGGCCAGAACTCAGTCTGAACTCAAGTCGCTGAAGCAAAGAGGTTGGGGAAAATTTTTAAGTGCTGGAGTGAGCTAGTGAAAAGTACTGGAGGATGTTATGAGGAAGTCATAGGCCATCTGTGTTTGCTAATTGACTTTATCCTGAATTTCTCTTATCTTTATGAGAAAGAGTAGTTTTACAACTTGGAGCAAGGTGTCTATCAACCTAGAAGGTAGGCTCTGCACCCTTCTGCAGAGACTAGAGGACAGAGGCACCATTTTTTTTTTTTTTTTTAATAATTCCATTTCAGAGAGATGGCTCCCAGGCCCCGAGAAAGACATTCCTGGGTTGTAAAACTGGCAAAAGGATTCTAAAAGGAACTACAACACAGAGGGACAGAGAAATAATATACATCTATGAGTTCTGAAGTAAATGCTCTAAGAAAAAGGATGTCGGGGACCTAGATTTAAGAAGAATCCTGTCTAAAGTTTAGTCAAGCTGAGGGAAGATTAATGCTTTCCCAAATCTGCCTTCCACAGTATCTATGTACCTATGAAATAGAGCCTTGTGGTGATAGTATGAAATCTCTTTTATCTTAGAATGTTTTGCTTGATATATTGAATTTGTGGAATTTTATTGTTTGGATTTCTCACTGCTGATATAAATGAGAACACAGCGTTATCATTAATACCTGAACGTCACAAGATTCAGAAAACTCAAATATTGGAAGTTGCTTCCTCAAGTCTGCCTTCCATAGTAATTATTTGTTTTATGACTTTCCCTGACTGAGGTCCAAGCTCCATTAAGGTAAGAATGATGCCAATTATTTTTACAGCTGTATTTTCAGTGTTCTCCACAGTTCCTGACTAGTCAGAATCCCAGAATATAGACAGCCAGTGGGAATTCACCTGAACAGTGATGATCTGCTGATAAAATCTACAACAAAGTAAAAAAAAAAAAAATCCTCAGGTGGGAAGTAATTTCACACTTGTTATTTTTGAATGCAATAAAATGAGTCTGTGACTCTGACCCTACAACATTGACATCAATAGTAGTGACTAAGAAGAAGTCAGAATATAATTGCATTTATTATTGGTTTATTGGGATCAGGCAGTTTTCCAAGCTGTTTAAATGTTTGTTCAATTAAACCTCCAAAGAGCACTTTATGGAAGGTGTGATTACCCCATAGTGCAAGTGGGAAAATTCTGTAATCCAGAGAGAAGAAATTACTTTCCCAGTTGAAAAAAAAAGTCATAACCTGACTTTCTGTTTCTGCATTCAGAATCCTTTCTAGACAATGAAGTGTTTCAGCTTTTCTGAACTGCAGAACAAATGATTTATTCATGAAGACAACATGAAGTTTTCAAAATATTCTATGTTAGATTATAAGCACGGAGCCCACAAATTGCATAAAAACCACCTCTTTCATATTCTAGGTGACCCAGGTACTTTCTAAAAGTTTCCAGTAGGTTTATTTCTAGGCAAGCATTAAAATGAAATAATAAAAGACAAATTAACTGAGGTAAATAAAAAGCTATTTATTCAGACAAACCCCTTAGGTCCCCTTCTGTTGTGGGAGCTCAACAAATCCTACTATCCAAAAAAAAATCAATTTATTCCGGCATTGTTAATGACAATAAAAAATTGGGATCACCATAACTGAGCAACAATTGATAAACATTAGCATAATAAAAAACCATATATGTGATGGAAAATAGCACTAGACATCTAAATTATTGTTCTGTATGACTATACTTAGAGATCAATAAAACATATTGATACATTTCTAAGTGAAAAAAGCAGAAAACAATATGTACTATAAAAATCAATGGAATATTATAATAAAAACATGTACATGTATGTCTGTGTGTGATTATATATTTTTAAAACTAGAAGAATTTAACATCTGTTTAATAGTAATCTCTAAGCTGTGAGATTTCAAGCCTTTTTACTTATTTTTGTATATTTCTATTTTCCAAATTTTCTATGTCCACATATATTTCCTTTACACAAGAAAAGACAGTAAAGACAAGAAGTTCAGGTAACAGGAGAAACTCCAAAATGATCACACATCTTCCCTGTTAAAATTGCAAAGGCTCTGGCTTGCTGCAGGGAAAGGCTGGACCCGCGACAAATGGCATCCACTGATCTCATCTGTCATTACAACCTCCTATTCCAGCCTTCTCTCCTTAGGCATCTTCACACATTTTTCATTAGGGACTAAGGACCAGTTATTGTTGTGGAACCTGTTTTCCTCTTTCTCAGCTGAGCTCGCTCCTACTGTGGTATGCTCCTCACGCTACTACTGTCTCTCTTGAATCGCCTGCTAAGAGCTGCCCTTTCCAGAGATCCTGTTCCCACCCTCCTCAAGTCTTCCCCTGCTGAGAGGTCTGACCTCAACTCAACCTGAGTGATGGGCCTCCAGGGGCTGCCCAGTCCAGCACACAATGCCTCAGTGACTTTTCTCTCCCACGCGCTACTCTGTCTCCTCCTGAGGCCCTGGCACATGCTCCTTAAAAAGAGAACATCACCTTCCTCTACCCTTTCTCTTTTTCTGGAGGTGGGTCAGCTGGGGGCACGAGAAATGGGGAAAGTGAGCCTCTGCACTGTGCTTGAGGCTTCTGGCTGCAGCTGGGCTTCTACTGTGCCTGCTCCATTCCTGGAGGACTCTGGGAAGGATGCCAGGATGAGTGAGAGGGGCTGTGCTTAGCAAAAACATGGCATCCCAGATTGTCCCAGGAATGGGCACAGTCGGCAGCCCTGCCCACTGTGCCAAGAGTTTCCAGTTGTCCTGGGAGTAGGGTTCTCTGGAGACATTTTAATGTCTTGATCAACACATGTCACACCATAGCGTATCAGCAAAGAGTTTATATAAGTTATCTATTGACAAGTACTGCAGAGATAAAAGCCTAGAGGACAGAGGGAGGAACAGGTCACTTTTGAAAGACTAGGAATACAGAGAGAATTAAGTATAGTCCTTTGTTATGTCCAAGAACCTGCAGCTGTCATTTTCTGGGATTGGACATGCTGCTACAAGGGCAGTCGATCCTGAGGGAGGATTTGCTCACTGAGTTCTCCATTTCCATGTCTAGGTTAAAATAGCTTTGGGCCCCCATGAGAGAGTTCAGAATGAGTTTTCTCCCTAAGCTCTCCCTCGGAACACCCCAAAAAAGTCTAGCATTCAAAGAGGCTCAGCACAGTCAAGTATGCTTGAAATAGCAGAACTATTTTTCTTAATCCAGAGGTATCTTCTATTTCATGAACAAATATAGACCTACTTCCTCTACTGAGAAGCTCTTGTTTTCTAGAAACTTCTAGTTGCCCCATATTTTTCTTTGTACGCTCTCAAATAATAAAATTTAGCTGAAACTTCAGATAAGAATTTGCCTTTTCACAATATCTAAAATACCTTCACACTAAAATTAATACAACTATGTGCATAGAGTAACCTCTGGTTTACTTCTGCCTTCTGAGTAGTCACAAATCTGTCCCTGGGCTCTATACTCTTAATCTTTAAGATGGTTAACAAGAGTTTAACTTTTTCTGATCATTTGTTGTTTTTGAAGGGTGGGATAGGCTTTCCAAAGGTTGTGAGTGTACAGGGATTACAATGAGCAGACTGGAGATGGCTATTCATTTCAAAAGTCATACTAAATCTGGATTATCTTTACTTTGATGATTGTATTAGAGGAGAATTCCCTGAGACAATATCTAAGAAAATCATTCCAAGGACACCCAGGAGGAAAAATGGACAAATATTTTCCAGGATTCTCCTCAATGTTATTCTTCATCCTGATACATTTGGTGTTATCTTCTGGTGAGTAATTTGGTTGGTTCTGACCAGCGTGTGAGGTTGATTTGTGAGTGATGATATTATAATCTGAAAGAGAATGCTTTGACATTGATTTTAAATTTCTTGAGTATATATATATATATGGGGGATGCCCCCAAAATACAGAATTATCTTTAGGAGGGCTTCCCCTGTTAGGTGAGTATTCTAGGAACCCATCGGCAACAGTGTACCAACTAGTGTTGTTGTGAGAGTTTGCATTTGGCTTCAGTGAATTTTGTTTTTGGAGACTCTTTCAACGCATTTCAATATGGGTAATTTATTTGTACAACCTGCTCACACCGCTCTGAGGACTCAGCAGTTTTTGACCAAAAATGGCATGACTCCCATGCCCGCACCCTCCTAATTTACCCAATATTGCAGGGAGTGACAGTTTTTTGTTTCCCTGGATGAAAAAAGTTATCAAAGGGAAATGTTTTGCCAATTTGGAAGAGATGAAAGAAAAACAGCAGAAACACTCAAAGGCATCACAATTGATGACTTCAAAAACTGTTTTGAGTAGTGGAAAAAGCATCTCTATAGGTGTATTACATCAGAGTGCTTTGAAGGTGACTGAAGTTTAAACATGCAAGAATAAATACACAATTTTTAATTACTAGAAAAAAATATATATATATATGGAGAGAGAGAGAGAGAATAGTGGTCCAAAAGACTCCGATTTAGTGGGCAGGGACTCAGTTTTATCATCTATTACATGCAGATTATGAGAACTAATTCATGTGGGCAAGGAGGCTTGGTGATTCAGTGAGGTAACATGTAAAATTGACTAGCAATATGCCTACATCAAAGCACATCTCAAAAAATGCGGAATGTTTGAAAATGCTTTGCCATGTGTTTGAGTGGATCATTATCTTCTGTGTCCTCTTCTAGAGAAGAAATTATATAGGGGGTTAATAAAGATACCTAACCTCAAGGGTTGGCAATATGGGTTTTTCTCATATCTATTATGAATTTCTGAGTAATACCCAAGCAAGTGTCTTTCCCTCTCTGAAAGATATAGGGACTGTGCAAAGAGATCACTTTAAAATTCTAGTATTTCCTGTTTCTTTTGCATGTTGGTTACCAGCACTAAATCCTCTCAAGTCTAAGCTCATTAGTGTTAATTCAAAAAATTATTTGATACAGTGGACTGGTGGCACTGACGGGAACAGTAATGCACCTATATAATCCTCTGCTGATATCTACCAGAAATAGAAGTTATTTCACATTAAAATAAATAATGAATACATTATAAATAAAAGAATGTTTTCAATTGTTGTAAGCTTCCTTAGCAAAAAAAATTAGTTTTTTATTCTATCAACAGTTTAAGCTATAATTTACCAGATATAAGCTTCTCTGACTATTTTCATGTATTCTCTAGTTTCAGGCCCTCGACGCTGGTGGCCACCACATGGAATTATTAAGGTAATCTTCCACTAGCTTTCCCAGAACCAAGATTCTAATCTGGTGTTATTTTGGAAATTGAATGCAGCAAGGTCATCCATGATATTCTTCAAGGTTCATTCACAGAGAGTGGCAGGTATCCAACCTGGGAACTAAGCCAAACTTCAGTCACAAGTATACTAGAGGAACCTCCATTGTGCTTGAAAAATGTTTATCAGCACCGACAATTGTCCAGGATATGATAAGTTCTTAAAAACCCATCCATCTGGGCATAACATGGTTCAGCTCTTGAGATGCTCATAGTTTCCTGGAGGGAGTACTCCTCAACACCCTGGGACAGACAGAGAATACTTATGCAGGTTGTGGATGGGGGTAGCAATGCCTGGTGTATGGATGGAAGGAAAGGCAAATGGCCTCAAAGTACGCTTGCAGCTTGTGTGAGGGCAAAACGGAGGCATCTTTTTCATTTTTGCCTGCCCCTCTGAGCATTGCATATGTTGTGCAGTCAATAAGTGTTTGAAAGATGAGGGAAAAGATGAATGAGAGATTTTTTTAAATTTTGATGTAGTTTGCATCACTGTGCTCCTTCACTTTACAAGTATTTGCATGGCCAGGTGCAGCGACACAAGCCTGTGAGACTGAAGAACTAAAAGGAGCCACTCAGGCGGAGACCAGTAAGAAGGACTTTAACTACTTGAGCCACTCATTGACACCCTGTGTGACTGGAGCACAGTGAGGGAAGGGATGCAGCAGATGTTACAGTTAGAGAAGCAGGAGGGACCCTCACCTTATGAACACATAGTGTCCTCCTGGGAGAAAGAGAGAGAGAGGGAAGGAGGGAGGAAGAGAGAGAGAAGGTATACTTATAGACAGTATAAAATATTCTTGCTCTTTTATTGGATAACTCTATATTTATTCAGATTGAACAATGTTATATCATTTCATTTTGCAAATATGTACAGAGCAATGACTAAATGCCAGTGACTAGCCTAATCATAAACAACCTTACCCTTGTGGGCTTTTAGTCCTTTGGTGGTGTGGAGTTAGTCAAATAATTACACAACTGCTTTATTACAAACTGATTAAAGGTATAATGAGGAAGAACAGAGAATTGTGATTGCATTTTAAGAAATATCTCTGAGAATGAGAGTACTAGAGGTTGAATGTGTTTAGGTTGAAAAAAAAGTATGTTCGATAGGATGGTTATGACAACCTAGAAGGCTCTGAGGTGAAGGGAACATGGAGCATTTGGAAAAATGCAAAAACAAACAAACTAAAAGGGCAAAGAGCAAGATGGTACAAGTTAACTTGGAAGGGTTTATATCACATAGGGACTTTTCATTTATAACAAGAGGGATTTTTTAAAAATAATGTGCAGTGAGGCCCAATTAAAATACTTTAATCAAGGGCTTAAAATGATCCAATTAATATTTAACTTGTGAACCTACAGGAGGAGAGGAACTGGAAAAGTAGAAGCATTAGTTTAGTGATGTTGGTGACTTGACCAAGATGGTGGTGAGAACAGAAGGAAAAGAAGTTTCTAAGCTCAAATATGATCCCTCTTTCTCTAAATTCCCAGTCAAAACTCTCCCCTGCCTTGCATTTGAGGTACTTTGTACAGTCTTATGACACTCATAGAGTCCCTGAGACTACCAACCTCATGCTTTATAATCCCAGAGTCCCTGGTTCAAGCTGTCACTGACACCAGCATTGTCCCAGGAGGAGCTTCTTCTGAAAGCAAGCAGCTCTGGGTCCTAGTCCTGGAAGAGACATGCCTCTTATTTAGTTTTTGGTTTTCCCTACAAAATCAGGGACTTAGTCTAAATGATCTCACATTTCACAGCATCAATATAGGAGATGGCTTGGGAATTTTGAGAGTGGATAATGTGAAAAATATTTTAAAGTCAGACATGTGGATTTCAGTGAGGCATATTTTCCAGTTATTGACCTTCAGTTTTCTTAGCTGAGTTGGCGTAGAAAATCTTTGAGAATGCTTCCAGATCTAGTAGTCTGGGCATAAAAGAGATTGAGAAAGGAGATAAATTTCCCAGATAAATTGTCTGTTTCCCCACCCTTCTTCTTCCCACTATAGCATAGCTGGCCTCTGTTCTCAATTGCTGAGGAGGTCCTGACAACCATATTGTCATCTAATGGCTATATATATATATATTCTAGTTCCATTGCTAAGGCTCCAAACCCTCATGTGAGACTGGAATATGGTCCTCACAGTGCTTAGATTTTTCTGGTCAAGTCTAAAGGTGATCTCCCTGTCTAAGCATGGTTCTAATTGTATCACTCCTTTCAACCCAATTTCAGGTGAAATGTCCATATAAGAAAGTAAACCTAAGTTGGTTCAATGGTACAGTGAACCCCTGCTCTGGCTTATATCAACCCATCTGTGGCACCAATTTTGTAACCTATGACAATCCCTGCATCCTGTGTGTTGAGAGCTTGTGAGTACTATGTGGGGAAAAGTAGAGAACTGTGCAAATACTTGTCCACAATAGCAATTAGCTACACCTCTCATCAAGTACATCAACCTTGAGGCCAGGAGCTTGCTCCAGTTTATACTGATACTAGTCAGCCCCCATACAGAAAAGCCTATGGTAACAAAAAGCCTACTGGAGTAGAAAGCACTTTTTTCTCTATGCTCTTGCACTCTCATATGCCAGTAGATGGATTTCCATTTGAAGCTCTCAGATATCTCTGTAGTCCTGACATTTTTAAAAAATGTAAGACAAATTGTGGCTTCATCTTCTTTCTTTTATGTGTCTGAAACTCTGAACTGCAATTCTGAGTTAATTGCAAAATGTGGGTCTTTTGCCCTAATCAGTGTTTAATTTTTTCCATTTCCATGACACAAAATCAGCAATCAAACACTGAAATATCACACACTATGGTTTCGACTTTGATCTCTATATGAACCAGTGTATTTCACAGGGATAAAGGTCTTTCCCATGGTATCATATTGGAGTCCTCAGTCTAATCATTGTGTAGTTTTGTACAAGGATCAAAGATAGGAATATGTAAACCCCAGGTCATCCCCATGAATGAACAATTCAATCAAAGTGTGCAAGCACTGAAAGAGCAGCTGCGGCTCGACATGCCTCACATATCACAAACCCAGCCCTTAGTAAGAGGCTTATTTTCAAAGAGATTGTAGCATGTGCCATAGTGTCATCAGTGGTGTCTTAGAATCCTGAAAAGATAAACTGGGTAGGAAATTTAATAATCTGACTCTTGTCATCAGTCAAGTTCCATTACACTCTGGATGTTGGTTTCCTCAAGTTTAAGAGTGCTAATACGATAAGATAAAATAAGATATATAAGATAATTTCATTTTATTTTTTATTTTTATTTTTATTTTTTGAGTTGGAGTCTAACTCTGTCGCCCAGACTGGAGTGCAGTGGCCGCTTCCGGCCACCGCAGCCTTGACTTGCTGGGCTCCGGCCATCCTTCCGCCTCAGCCTTCCGAGTAGCCAGAATTACAGGCATGCGCTACCACACCCGGCTGATTTTTTGATTCATTGTAGAGATGAGGTCTCGCTGCCCAGGTGGGTCTTGAACCCGCAGGCTCAGGAAATCCACTCACCTCAGCCTCCCAGAGGCGCGGGATTACAGGCTGAGCCACCGAGCCCAACTAAGATAATTTTAAAAGTATTTTTGCAGTTATGACATTCTACTATTTAATGAAATGTTTATTCTGACATCTCCTTCAGGAAATCTCATGGAAGAATTAAGTTTTACCATGATGGAAGATGTTAGCTGAGTGGACATGCATTTGGAAGAAGATGTCTTCCTTTTCTCTCTATCACTTCAGTCCTCCTCTTGCACCTCCTGTTTTTTCACCCCTCCTTGCAAGTAAGATCTGCCCCTGCTGAGCCTGGAGCAAATGGCTCCAGGTTCCTTTTATGAACTGCTCCCCTCACTGATTCACTGACTTCTATAGTCTCCCTAATAAATAAACTTTCTGAAAGTCTGATTTGACTTGTGTCTCAGATCTGTGTACAAAACCTCAGAAGTAAAACAAATGGAGCATTTGAGTCAAAGACATACATTGGGATCAATCAGCTCTCTGATAACATTAACAGTGAGGTAATCTGTGTAAAAACTCCATATTCTCTTCCAAGAAACACAACAGAAATTTGTCTTTTATATTCCCTTGGCATTTAAAAAAAAACCAGTGAACAGAAACTATAGAGCATTGTGTTCTGCCTGTCTGGTTCTTGTTGTCCATGTCCTCACCCTTGGACTCAGTCTTGAGGCAGAGGAATTTAGATCAACAGGGCCCTGCACCTTCACCAGACCTATTTTCTCCTGGAAGAAAGTTGACATTGTTGGTATCAATGAATGCTCCATTGGTCATCGGTCTTTTTTTTTTTTAATTCTCTGGAAACATTTTAACCTCTAAAACATATAGAGACCATTTCTCTCTCAGTTATACTAATATATACATCTCTCCTCATATAGACAGCAGACTAATATGTGCCATATGCTCTCTTGCCCTCAGCACCTTGCTTTCTGCTGGTCTGAGAAAGCACATCTGTTCTGCCTCCCAACACTATGTAGGTTGTGGTCAGAATGTGTACATATTCTGCTAGATCTTTTCTTGCCTACCATGCTGATTACACGGTGGATACATGCTACATCTTTAGAATATAAAGAGTACACAACTCTGGGGAAAAGAGATATTCTCCATCTTTATAGCATGCCAATTTCCACTGCTTTAAGACCTGGGCTATTCAACAACACCAAGCACTCCAGTGAGGATTGTTTTCCAACACTATTGCCTTAACTTCATGTTCACAAATCTTTTCTTCTGCAATAATTAATTTGCCATTAATGTCATCCAGTGGGTTTTTCATCTTAAACAGGAAGTATTACTAGACTTGCATGGGATCTGAGCTCTGTTAGCTCTAATCCCTTCTAGTGATCTTTCTTTGCATTGAGTGTTTGCTCACACACAAGTACCAGTCGGTAATCTGCTGAGCCCTCTGTCCAGCTCACCCATGCTCTGGTCCTGCAAACCCCAGTCACTTTGATCTCTCTTTCCTTTCACTCTGTATCCTCAATTCAGTGTTGCTTCATCTGGGTTCCTCTTTCCTCCTTTTAGAATCTTTCACAATGCAGAAGCCAAGGTCACCCACAGAGTTAACTTAGTTATTTTTCCTTTCTCAGGAATCAGTTTCCTTCAGTGACTGATATCATTGTTTGACACATTTTGTCTGACTTTTTGTTATTTCAGATTGGAGGATATATATGGTCTCTTACATCATATTGCCTGGATGCAGAAGCTGACCTTATCTTTATTATGCCATTTTACTTGTTTTTGTACTTAGTTTTCTTCTGATGCCTTCTAAAGTCTAGACTAAAATACAATGCCATTATTCTACTTTTTCTAAGAATTCCAGAGGATAGGACTTGTGCTCTGTAATAGTGCGAATATTTTTAGCGTAAAAGAAATCACTTACTTAAATTTGCTACATACAAGTATAACAGTAAAAAGAACTTTGATAATAATATTTTTTAACTGTCATTTGATAGTAGGCATTTCCAAAGAAGAAAAGGAGATTAGCATACATCTAAATACAAGACTGCTTTCTTATAGCTCCACTCTAAGGATAATTTCCACAGATCTCTTACCACTTCCAACACGAAAGTAGCTCTGACAGTCACTACCTGTATTTTTGTGTTTTCTCTCTCTCTCTCTCTCTCCCTCTCCCTCTCTCAAATGATTTCAAATCCCTCTGCTTGGTTCCCTTTATTTTTCATCTGCCAGTTATTAATCAGGCCCATGTTTTTGTCATTGCCATCTTCTCCTAATCCATTCTACTTCCTCTACCAGACAATCCCACTCATATCTGTAATTACTCTATTGCCTATTTATGTATAACCCACTCATTCACATCATGAGACCATACCCAACTTCTTATCAATAGATACTAGACATCTTACTCTTATTAGCTAATGGAATCTTTAAAGTCAATCAATCCAATATAGGTCCTATGTTTTTCTTTCTAAATTTGTTTCTACACGTGTTTTGATGTAATTAAATTTGGTATCATTACTCTAAGTCTTTTCTCACTCATACTCAATTTCTGTATGCAATTTATGTGTGTTCCTTAAATCATCTTAAATATTAATTAAATTGAAGAAATGCATTTAATGCAAGTCATCTGTTTTAATGTTATTTGATATTCATCTTAACTGTTGCCTTATACTCTGTTCCCACAACCACAATTTATTAAATTTAAATATGACACTCTCCTTGGTAGTTATAATACAAACATCTTAGTATGACCTGCAAGACTCTTTACTTCACCTACTAACAACACTCCCTAGGTGCTAATTGAACTATAATGACCTCTTGTAGGACTTTTAACAAATCCTATTTGCCCAAAAGGTGGCAGTAAAGCATTGCTGTTTAGACCAAGAATGTTGATATGGTCTTTGGTCTGCTTGTCATATAACAAACTGTTGGGCAGTTTACTGGCTCCATGAGCTGCCGAGTCCCCATCACTTAATATGATAATATCCTTCTTCCCAAGAAGATGAAACACGTTCAGGTCTTTGTTCTTATTCAGATCTCACATGGATGGGAGTATTGGGAAATGTTTCTAACTCATGAACTAAAGGTTACTCTTCTAATTCTATGGAGTTCACTTTTCTGATTAAATTATTTTTACCCTAAGAAAGTTAATCAGTTAAGAGATAGACTTCAATAACCTTGCATTTTCCAAACATGCATATTACAAACAGAAATTGAGAATGATTTGTATGGACTTGCATAGGCAGCCAAAAAAATTCATTGTTATTTGAAATAACACGCAAATCTACACTGTAGTAAATTTTCTTTAATATACAATTTACTTATTTATTTTTATTATTACTATTATTATTTTATTTTATTTTAGAGGATTTTACATGTGAAGATTTACTACATAAGTAAATTGCATGCAAGTGACGTCTGGCTTCTGGCAGACTCTCTCTCTCTTCCTGATAGTGGACCTGGTACTCAGTGTGTGGTTGTGTGTCCTTTACCTATCCCGCTCTCCTTCCCTCTCTCCCTCCTTCCCTCCCTCCCTCTCTCCCTCAACAGTGTTCAACATCTGTTGTTTCCACCATTGTGCTCATGTTACCAGTGATCAGGGTCCACTGTGAGTGAGAGCATGTGGTATTCAATTGTTTCTGTGATAGTTCACTTAGTATGATGGTTTCCAGCTGCATCTATGTTGCTGCAAAGGACATAATTTTGTTCTTCTTTATGGCTACATAATATTCCATCATGTATGTGAACCACATTTTCTGTAGCTGTCCATTAATTTCAATTGGTCAAGTGTTGAGTTAAGCTTCCAGATTTCCTTGTTTGTTTGTTTTTTTGTATCAATGAAATAAGGTTGTTGGCAGGGTACTTAAGTCTCTGATTGTAATTGTATGGCTGTCCACGTCCTCATTAGTTAAATTTGCAATTTTTTATAAATGTGGATGCTCCTATGTTGGATGCATATATATTCAAGATGAATATTTTCTGCTGATGGATTGAGTCTTTTATCTTTATTTAGTGTCCTTCAGTGTCCTCTTTAACTTTTTCTTGGTTTAATGCCTGTTTTGTCTGATACAAGAATAGCTAACTGTCTGATATAAGAATAGCTATTCCTGCTCTCTTTTGTTTTCCATTTGCCCAGAAGAACATTCTCCAGCTCTTTTCCTTAAGCCTATGGGTGACCTTTGTAGTAAGATGGATTTTCTGAAGGCAGCAGAATGCTGGGTGTTGGGTCATGTTTCTTTATCCAGTTTGCTATTCTATGCCTTTTGACTGGTGAATTCAGTCCATTTATATTTAAGCTAATTATTGATATGTGGGGTTTTTATTCCTGTCACATTGCTATGAAAAAGCTGCTTGGTCTTTTACATTTTGTGGTTGATTTATATGATCTGAAAACTCTGTCCTTTTGTGATGGGTGGAACTATTCTTTTATTTCTGAGCTTAGGACTTTCTTAAACATCGCCTGAAGGACTGGTCTGAAAGTGGCAAATTCCCTTAGGGACTGGATGTCTGGAAGGATTTTAATTCTTCTTCATTAATGAAACTTAGTTTGGTATAGTAGGAAGTTCTTAGCTAACATTGTTTTTCTTTAAGAATGCTAAAGATGGGACCCCAGTCCCTTCTGGCTTGTAGGGGTTCTGCTGAGATGTCTGCTGCAATTCTGATGAGTCTTCTTTGGTAGTGGTCTGTCCCTTCTCTCCAGCTGCCTTTAGAATTTTTTCTTTCATGCATATGTTGTGAAGACAGATTATTATGTGTCTTGGGGTGGTCTTCTCATGTAATACCTTGAGGAGTTCTCCAGATCTCTGGTGTCTGCATGCTTGCCTCTCTAGTGAGATAGGGAAAACTTTCTTGGATGACCTCTTGGAAGGCTTGTTGCAGAGTGCTCTCAGATTTCTCTTCTGTCTCAGGGATGCCAATCAGTCATAGATTTGGTCTCTTTACATAATCTCAAAACTCTCTTAGGTTTTACTCATTCTTCTTGAGCCTTTTCTCCTAGTTTTTGTCAGACTGGACTAGTTCAATAGTTTGATATTCAAGCCCTGAGATTTTTTCCTCTGCCTGGATGATTCTACTGCTCAGGCTTCTTGTTGTGCTTTGAAATTCCAGGAAAGAATCATTTATTTCTAGGAGGGAAGATTAAACTTTTCCTGCACTGTTTTCATTGCCTGGGTGACCTGTGCTTCCGTCTTTTCATGGCTTTTTTTTTCCCACTGTT